GACAAGGTGGGAGTTGGGGTTTGCAGTGGTCCTATGAATCACACAGTGCTCTCTTTGTACAGTGAGTTTGGGAAGGCATTAAAAGGCAGTTATTTGAGCCTAGAACACCACTCAAACCTAACCAAAGGGTTCAGATTAATAAGGCAAAAGGTTAACATGCCAATTACTATATTCTGATAAAATCCAGTGAGATTATCTATCCACTCAATGTGGAAATATATCTGTTGATGTGAGTGGTAATACTCTACATACTCAGTCAAGCTTACTGCTTTTAGAATAACTTGATCCCAGCATGCAGTTCAGATTGTAAATCAGCATAAACTACACCTCCAGGTTAAATTACACTTTAACTCCAATCCTTTTGAATTGGATCAGAGTGCTTTGACTAACATCTTATCGTTACACATTTTAACTTTAAAGTAGCTAAAGTAATGGCTACTTAAAAGGTCCCGGTTGCAAAAATGATGGGGTGGACAGGGAAATCACTAACAATCATTTGCAGACATTTAATTTATCAGTCATTCAAGTGTGTTAACTACATTAGTTAGAGGTTATATAGTTTGAATTTTTTCAGCACTGCAACAAAAATAAAGAGCAAACTACTTAAAAAAAAAAAAAAAAAAGCTAAGGACATGGTTTGTACCTTAATTGAACACTACCTTTTTTTTCATTTGTCCATTTCATTCCAGATCATTATTATGTTTTGTTTTGTCACAAACCTCTCTACATCTTTACAAACTAGAATTGGGTGTCCTGATAGGCATTTACCCAAGACTCCATTGATGGAACGATACATCAGTAGTGGGGGAAGGGCATTAAGCCGATAAATTTGGTTCCATATCTCAATCAGTTAGACTATAATTCAAAAATAAACCAGGTCAGTAATTTAATTCAGAAGATAAAAGAAATGTAACTTTGTAGATTTTACAGATATGTTGATATATGTTAAGTTGTTCTTTCTGTAAATTTGAAATATTTCAATTATTTTAAAGAAAACCTCAAATTCAGTTCCTCCAAAAAAAAAAAAAAATGCATTATCAATATTACATAAGGGAAATAAAATATAATGATTGTTTTAGAAATGTGATGTTATGGCCGTGTTATGATCTACATAGACAAGGGAAAGGTTACCGTCATAAAAGTGGCAAGGGGCTCAAATCACAAAAGGTCATTGCTAGTAAAGCTGGCTTTTTATAGAAAATTGTATCTGAAACATTTTTATAAAATTGAAAGGATAATGGTCTCAAAGTCTGTGGAGGGAGAGTCAAGAGGCACAGATCCTAAGCTTCTAGAGAGTGTAGAGTTCCCACAGCCGGAAATGATTTTGCCATTATTGTTGGTCCACTGTGACCTATCAAGTAAAACGTCAGCAAAAACTTCCATCAGTAAATCTAGTGTATTTAATACTTCTGTCTTCTTTTCTCTGAGTTTTATGCAGATTTATTTTTAAAGCAAGACTGGAGCACCAATGTCTGGTTTAATAACCATGTTACCGCTGTGTTTAGGGTAACCATGACCAATAGGGAGCCCATTAAGAAGAAACAACTTTTCTCCCAGAAGAGATAAATGTAAGATCTTGACTATGATCCTGCAACATCTTTCCTGTCAATCGTCCTACATTTTTTAATTGAAAAAGTATTATTTTATTTTTGGAATTTAGGTTTCTATTACATTTTGTTTTTCGTTCCCTATTGTTTTGAAACACAAAACATGATCAGTTACAGATGTGTCAACAATATTTAGGATGGTGAAAGAGATGGATGTGAGCTATTTGTGTGTGCATAAATTTGAATCTTTCAGATGAGTAATAAGAAGCATCCTTCACAAATTCATTGCCAGAAATTTAGGCCTGTTTTGCTTTGCACAGACAAACAAATCCATGAGCTGCAGCATTTAGCAGAATGCCAATGCCAAACGTTGTTTCCTAGCCCACCATGATTAGCCAGGAGTGAAAAGTGTCCTTTTAAACTGGAGAGCTGTGAGTACCTCAGCAACACACACAGAGACAGGATCTTTTCATCAGCTATGCAAATCTAGAGAGCACGTGGTTTTCTGCACATTCCAAGGTCCCCTGTGACTTTACTCTCTCCTACTTTCAGCCCTCAAAGGCTAGGACTCCATTTTCTTCCCTTCTAGTTTACTAATTAAAATTTCCGTTTTGGTCTGTTTTTTTTTCTTCTTTATTTTCCCTAAAGTGAACTCAAAGAGAATATCTGATCCGGTTTTGATTATTCGTATTCCTGAACACTTAAGCAGGAATGTATCTAACATGCCCATTATTTGTGGCTATAAATGCGGCAGTGTTTATGTTTTATGAACACACGTTTCCCTATTAAATAAATAAATCTTTTCTTTGCAATTGTGATTGTGTTGAATTTTTCCTCTGTCAGACAGCAAAGAAAATCTTAATATTAATGTATGAGCAGAAGACCAGATTGTTTTAAATTATCTGTGTGCAAAATGTCTAAAAAGATCATGATTTAGTCCAGGAAGCAGAGAAACTCTAAAAGTCCACTGTGCACCCAGACCATAACGTTACATAAAACACACTATGGCTGCTTTATTTTTTTTAGATCTAACAATAATAATCATGTACATAATGATGCTATATATAAAACTTGCAAGGAAATGACACATTGACTGCTTGAAAGGTATTGCTTGTTATCTTTTGGACAAAAAATTGCTTGGTAGAGGTCTGCACTCAAAATGATTTTCTAGGGTTTTCGGGAGAGTTTATATGTTGGTCTGTCTGTCTTTCTGTCTGTCTGTGTGCAGCACTATCAGTGTAACTTTGAAAAATATGGACAAATTTTAATTTAATTTTTGTCAGAGGCATCCCTCATGCCAAGCAACAATCCATTAGATTTTGGCGATGATCCAGATCATAATCTGGATACCGAAATTTTAAAAAGATTCTCTAATATTGTGAAATAGGGATATTTGGTGAAACAAGCAATTTCCCACTAAACTAGAAGGTGACAGAGGTGACCATTGACAGCCTCAGGTTGGGATTCAAAAGGTCCTGAGGTATTTTACTGAAGAGAAAAACACAAGAAATTGAACATTTATTTTATGGGTATATTTTACTAGAGATGTGCCTCATGTCAAGGAACAAATCACTTAAATTTTATGTGCGAGTTTTAGCTATAGCTATAAGTCACAATTTGGTGATAAAATACGCTGCTTAGTAGAGGTCAGCGCTCTTTGTCGGCTTTTCTAGTTATAACAGAGACAGACTTTGGAACAGTTGAACCCGAATGAACAGGTCCGACTGCCCGATGGACTGTCCATTCCTAGGGGCAACCCGGTTCATCTGGTTCAATTTGCATGTTTTCTAAGCCAAAACAAGGCTTTGTTTTTGGTCCATTCAATAAAGCCTCAAACTCAACCCTCTTTCTGACATTTTAAATATAAAAATGTCCTGGATGGCAAGCAAAACATCTTTAAACTTAGAAACACAGTCCAGTGGATTTTTTTTGATACATTTTTTTGTTAAAATTTGCTGTTGACATTAAAATGGCTTATTTTAGGTACATCATTTCCTTTAGAAGACTTATAAAAGGATTAGGGAAGTATTTAATGATATCTGCTTTGATGTTATGTAATATTTTTTTTTTTATATATGACCTTACTTTAAAATAATATTTAGAACAAATTAAAGTACTCTTCTTGGTTATATGACACTAAAAAAACAGTATGGAAGTGCCTGCCCGCATGTCAAGCAATTAGTTTCTTCAGCCCATCTGTGCCTACTCATTGCTGTAATGCCTTTGCCTGTGTTCTGATCTATTTAACCTCTTTCCAGCCACAGACACCTTGTCAGATTATTGATAGCAGTTCTCTATTTAGATGTCCAGAATTATTTCCTTGACAATTTTGGATCTGATGTGTATGACCTTGATTCTGCCTTTTGGATTTTGTTAGTCTGCCTTTTTTCCTGTTGGACTCCTCATTTATCACTGCTCTCTGAACATGAACAATGAATTTTAGCCTCCGCCTTCAGCTGGACCCATGCCTGATGACCTAGGCTATCTATTTCTATATTTTTGACCCTCATTTGGCTTTTTGCTGTGGTGTCTCTTCATGCATCAAACACAATTTGTAATCGGATGAATAGTGCTGAAAAACTGTCCTGGAAATTTCCTGTGAGGAATAAGGTTCATGCGTTCTGAAGCCTATCAGCTGATTTATCTCCTAAGAGTTTTTGATTAATATCTTGCCTCCTACCAGTTCCAGATTTTGAATCCTTTTTTTTTTTTTTAAACTGGTGTTTTGCTTAGATGAGTGATAAACTCCCCCTGTACCAGACCTTACAGCTGTGTTTGTTCAATTCATTTAGATTGGGGTTGATGTTAAAAAGTAATAACATGTCAATAAATTACTAGTTTAAGTGTATTCTTATTTCATTTAACATCCTATTTACTCAGTAGCACAAGCTCTATTTCAGGAGCCAGCTATTATAGGGTAATTACTCCATGTTAGATTATGTCATTTCCTCTGAGAAGATGAGGAGTAGAAAATGAGCCACCTCCGTCAATTAATATAAGATGAGTCGATCAGCAGAATAGGCACTGTATTTGCTACATTTTTCGTGAGTCATAACTTGATAATGTGAAATTTCCTTGTAAGGTGTCCCCTTGCTTGTCTTTTTTTCTGATAAAAGCGGTGATTAAAGGCTATGTTTCTTACACATGTAATCATTTCCTTATCGATTTGTCAGCATTTCAGGAAATGGTTTCCCTTGATAAATATCCATGTAATGATCACTTGTCTCAATTGCAGTGGTGAAAGGAAATCGTTACATAAAAGACCCCTCTGGGCAGTGTTAAAACGGTGTTGGGCAAATGCTCTAGTTCATGTGTTGACAAGTGGTTGTGAAAATATCTTTACAGCTGTGTATAAAATGACTTGAGCACATATAAGGGAAGTGACTGATAAGAAGTACATTTTCCTGGTTCCTCTCTTCCTCACTCTACTTTCATTCATTCTTCTCTTTTCAGGCTTTGAGGACGGGGGAGGAAGATGAGACCACCCAGCCCTCTCCTGATCCTTCTGTACTTCACCCTGTCCAAGGGTGTAAAGGTGGTTTCAAAGAGAGGCTCAGGTATTTATTGAACCTTATCAAAAGCCTTGCATGCATATGTTGACTGTTATACAGTATCCTAATAATGATTATGCCAAGCCATAATCCCACATCGGTCGTTTGCACAGTTACTCATCAATTCCTTCAAAGTGCTGTGAGGCAGTGTTAGGAGATTGAAGAAATGAGAAGGTTTTTGTGTGTGTTTGTAATATAGTAATTTTGTATTAGGCCGGGGGGAGAAAAAAAAGTGGTCTATCTTATTTTCTGTTTGTTTGGGTGTGCGGTTTCTAGGCAGAGTTTGTTTGTCTACATGTGTTCTGCTTCTTTGTGTCAATAATTTTAACTGTAAGCTTTAAAATAATGGACAATAACAGCTGAAAAGATCAACTTAGTTCATTGCTTCACTTTGACTCGGAAGACACCGAAGTAAGAGAAAACCTTTGCATTGGGACAGTTACTTTGGGGGAAAAAAAAACTACAACTTTGGGCTATAGTTTGTCACAGATGCTTATTTAAATCCCCAAACACTAACATAAATAGATCTGTATGCTAACGCTATTATCACAAAATTTTTGGAGAACAAATAATGTTTTAAACAGAAATTTACCCAGCCTTTGGTTTTCCTCTCAGCATCTTTTGTATGTAATACTGTTTTTTTGTTTGTGTTTTTTTTTTTTTTTTTGGCTCATGCAGGTTGCACAATGAAGGTCCTAGAATCCTTGCTTTTCTTAGAATAGAACTTAACTTTTTTTTTTTTTGCATATGTGGGCTACATCCTGATACTCAGCTTTCTGACTGAGTGCCTGGGTGTACCTTCTGACTGTCAGGTTAATTAGGTTCTCCAAAGTGCCATTTGTTTTAAGAGTATATGTACATGACTGTTTGTGGTTTGTGCCTCTGTTGTGCCTTATGATGGAATAAAGAACTATCTAGGGCTTACCTTGCTTCTTTCCCAATGACTGCAGGAGATAAGCACCAGCCCCCCACAATCATGCAGGTTTTAGCCAATAAGAAAATAGATGGATGGTTGTTATTGTTTCAGTCACCTTTATTAGTGTTTCACGTCTCATTGAACTGAATTGTTTCTATATGCTCCCATCAGAGACCTCATTAGCTGCTCCTGTTCAATAGCTCACTAACATATACAGTATAGGGAATTAGCTAATCACATGGCTGCAATTCAAAGCATTTAGGAATCTATACTTTGTGAAGAACACTGTTTGAGTTAAAGCGGACTTCACAACATCTCTACGTTTGCAGCAAAGAGTAAGTATTTCCACTGCAGGAGGTTCATAGATGGACATTAATTGTTTGTGTCAAATGTCAGATGGGAAATGGTTGGACATTTCAGAAACACAATCAGAGCTCAAATAACCACTTATTATAACAAAGGATTGCAGATCTGACAACTGGAAGCAGAGAAACTGCAGCACACCACACTAAATGGCACTTTCATTGACAAAGGACAACAAAATGAAGCTGCAATTGTTGAAAATTGGGCATTTTTTATGTTTGGTTGCATCACAGTTTGACATAAGCAGCATTAAAACATGGATCTGCTCTGCCATGAAACACAAGCTCAGTGTGCTGATCATAGTTTTAAGCGGGGGCATATTTTCTCAAGACATTTACCAATTTAACATTGCTTGATCATTTACATATTGTGGTTAAAGAATAACTTGTGTCCTGTTTACATTCAGGATTTCCTTTGAGTTTGTTCTTTATGTTGATTTAAACATTCATCAATTTTACTTGGTCTACTAGGCACTGATTAATTATCAGTTGGCATGTGCAAGATTTCTTTGAATGATAGAATCAGTACCAAATCTATTAAGATGTAATTTCTTTTAGAACTATTTGTACAGAAATATAAACAGACTGGCAACCCTGCCACGGCCAGGTGTTTTTATTTGTTGTTTTTTTTCTTTTCACTGCATTTCCCAATTAAATTCTCCGCCATATGTTCTGTTGACTTTACTCACTGTCACTACCAAATTTGTACTGGAAGCCCGATCTGTACCAACAACATATTTGCGCATGTTCAAACAGATATTCACCCAGGTTGCCATAAATAATATGGTACTAAAAGTAATTATTTCTATCCTTAAATCGCCAAAGAATCTGAAATTACATCTTCAAAATTATATTTAATGACTTTCCTGGGATAAGTCTATCGTTTTTACATTCGCTCTGTTAAATGCATTTTCACCGTTTTTATCAGATACGCTCCGATGAGCAGTCTGCCAGAATATAATTACAATATGTGTATCTACATTTAAGTTGTTTCCTTCTCTAGATTATGCACTATCTACCATGAAGTTAAAACGAGAGGATAAAAAAAAAAAAATCAAAAAGGCTAGATTTATGTATAAATCTAAAGTTAAAACGTTTGCTCCTAGAAGTAGCATAGGACTCTGGGACAGATCAGGTGATAAAGTGATACGAAAGAAAGGAATTAAATGCATTTATTTTCTTAGAATATAAATTATTAACCATTTATACATTGTAGTTTAGTATGCTTACTATTTTTCAAAGTAAAATCTAGGGGGTCCCGGACGTATATCCAGTTCCGCATGCACAAACAAGCTACCGTAAGTATGTGTACGTATGCCAAATACCTGAATATAAAGTGTGCCAAAAAAGAATAAATCTTAAAAAATAAATAAAAAATGCAGAAAACCAAGCAATTTCCCTTTCAGATGCACATCTGAGATTTCTTCAGGCCCCCACTCAACCATAAATGTCCATGCAAAGCACCTAATGAAGTTCATTGGTTATTCAAACAAACCGGCTGATCAATGTTATTCAGTGGTTACCATGGGAACCACAACCAAGACAACGGAGGCAGAAATAGATGTGGTAGTGAGTGAGGTGGAGATTCAGATAAATATGTTTAGTAGCCACAGTAAATACGTGGAAGCTTTATTGATGAGACTTTCATGGTCTGGTGTATGGACTGAACTGATCCACATTCACATCATTTTCCATGGATTTTTTTGTCAGTTGATAACAATATTAGCAGTTTAGATAGTGTACATGTTGAAAAGGCCTTATAAAGTTTTAATATGGCTTTTTCGGAAAATAGCTTAAAGAGTCTGCTGTTATGACCTGTTGAAAGTTGCAGTTGAGACCTGGTGTTTAGGGGTAATCACTGAAATGTTGCACTAAGATAGTTTAAATAATTCTGCTGATGGTGTTCATAACAATTGTTAGTGTCATTCACTAAAAAAAAAGCTTAGAAATCTGAAAGACAGGTTAGATGGATGTTATTTTCTCCACAAAAGAAGCACAGTTTAGCTTCATGAGAAGATCCAAAGTGTACATCTTTAATTCTGCCAGCTCTAACACAATACAAAGAGAACATAGCGGCTGTTGAATGATCCAATTTCTCTATGAGAGGGTTACCTAGGGTTAATACGAAACTCATCTTGGTCCTAAATGCAAGAAAATTGAGCATCAGTTATGAACAACTGAAAAGGTCAAAAAAGAAAGTAGAGTGCAAAAAGACTTGAAGTAGAAACTTTCCATGACATGAATACTGGAGTGTTAAAGAAGCAGCCAAACAATTTGATTCAGGCTGCCATTTAAAAAGGAAAGGGATCTGCCTGTATTTTACTCCTAGATGTTTTTTCATCCAGTAAAATATAAAATAAACATTATTTTTCTGTGCTCCTCAGTCAAAGAAGGCAAATAAACATTAATGCCATTATACAGGATATAATGACCATTACTTTAGCAGCATCTGTTTTAGCAGCATCAAAGCCAGTCAGATATATTCAAAATATGTTGTTTAGAACAGCAAATTAGAAATGTTTTCGGACAGACACAACTTTGTTTTTTCTTTGCAGAACATTTCTCAACCCCGCTCATACCACTGTAGAACTGATAGCAATGTTAAATACTTTATTACAGTTTTTACCATTGCTAACAATTCTTTAAAATAAAAAATTCTAATAAGTTGATTTATTCAATTATTTTAATAATAATTGTACTTTATTGATCTCAGACAGGAGAAATTTATCTCTGCATTTAAACCATCCCTTTGGGTAGCAGTGGGCTGCCATTGTGCGGAGACAGGGGATTAGTGTGGGGTTAAGGGTCTTGCTCAGAGACCCAAGGTGTAGGCTGTGGGTGTTGAACCAGGTACTTTCAACCTTCTCAGAGCTCTAACTTTGTTTTTAAACGATAATTGAACAATAATAATAAATTATTATTATCATTAATAGATTGAATAATAATTTTCTTACATGCCCCCTCTGCAAATACATTTTTCCCCCATTGGGGACACTTTCCCAACTTTGGGTCGGTTTAATAAAGGAATGTTGTAGAGATTACTGCATTATTGTTTGTTCAGTAGTGTTTTCACAGCAGTTGGGTAAAAGCTTTGTTTAAGTCAGTCTGAATTAGTCTTGAATGGTTTGAGTCTGCCAGTAGGAAGGCTGGTGAACAGAGTGTCCTAGCTAGGCTGAATTGTCTCAGCCCTTTGAAACCCTTTGAAGGAGACTTCTTGAGTAGATCTCTCAGACAGCAGGCGATTTGACAACTATTGGATATATATCTGATTTAGTGCCAGACATGAAAGTGGCTGAAATCAAATTTTTGAGGGGGTTGAAAAGATTGAAATCGGGCCATGCAGACTGCCTAAGCTGGCTGGATCTGAAGGAGTTAAAGGCCAAGCTGAGAACAGCAAACATCATCCTGATGTATCCCTGTAAGTTTTATTGTAGCCCAAGTTTAATAGGAGGATGTCTCGTTTTCTATATTTTTTTCTAAAAAAAAAAAAAAAAAAAAAAATAGAAAACGAGGTAAAATAATAGAAAACGAAAAAAATAAAGTTCTAAACATACCATTGAATTTATTGTCTGGAAATGATGAAGTCAAACAGACTTTATGTGAACGTTCTACTAGTTTAAAGACTAATAAACATAAAAAATGATGCAGCAGTAAATGTCACGCAGAAGAAACATTTTTCTTAATCACTGATTTTTAGCATAAATCTTATAAATCTTATCTTTAAAATG